TAAGTTCAGGAAGGGAGAATGCAGGGAGGAAGGGGACAAGCTCTTCTCATTGGTGGCTAGTGACAGGACAAGGGGTAATGGCCATAAGCTGGAGCACAGGAGGTTCCGTCTCCAGGTGAGGAGGAACTTCTTTACTGTGAGGGTGACAGAGCAGTGGAACAGGCTGCCCAGGGAGGTTGTGGAGTCTCCTTCTCTGGAGGTCTTCAAAACCCGCCTGGATGCCACCCTGTGCCACATGCTCTAGGTGTGCCTGCTTGAGCGGGAAGGTTGGACTAGATGATCTCTGGAGRTCCCTTCCAATCTTGAATATTCTGTGATTCAGTTTCTTTTTCGCATGCTGCATTTTGTTTAGGGTCCTCTGAAATGCCAAGTAGCAGGAAGCATTAAGAAAAAAAAAAGTAGGTGGCCATTAGCCTGATTGGCACTAGCCCAAATGTTTTTATTTTGATCAGCTCCATGAGTTGCATTCAGGGTGACCTTATTCTATGCAAAGTCTCAGTGGCAAATATCGGTTTAAAACTCCATAATCTTTACTTCTACCAAGACTGAGTTCCATATGTAAGCCCAGGAGATCATTACAAATACTGTTGTATCTTTGCTTAAAAAATGAAAGATGTTGTATATGGAAGTTAACTTTCATTACTCTCACAAAACATTTCTCAATAGCTGTAGAAATGAAGGAAAGAAGGAGCTATAGAAACGAAGAAAAAATGAAGGGAAAAAAGCACCAGCTACAGCTGAATACTGGGGAACTTGCTTGAAAATTCCAAGTTTAAGATAGGCTGTCAAATTTGGGTTGAAAAACTGTTTTCAGAAACAATGTCAGCAGGGACTTATACCTTATCCTTCCATTCCTTGACAGGTATCCTGCCACTGTACATACTCTTCACAAATTATTAAACAGATTTGACTGCCATTGCAGTAAATATACATTTCGACATTTGGAAAATTGCCACGGAACAGCGATATGAGGCCAGTTTCTGTTTGTGGAGTAAATGAAAAGTGCATTCAGTAACTTAGTTTGAATATTCCCAGGCTTGCACTATGCTTAATTAAAGCTGGCTCTCCATCAGTGTTTCATAAGGTTCTGGGAGGCAAAATTTCAACYTGAATAACCCAATGGTGAATGAGACCTTGGAAACCGACAACAGACAGGAGGGAGGATGCTGGATTATTTGCAGAGGTACTTCTATTCATCAGACTACTCTTCAGAGCTAACAACCAAAAATGAAAAGCAGTAAGGAATCTCTGGTCAGTCAACCTGTTAGTCAACTTTGGACTGTATTGGGCTATCAAGCCTCGCATTACCTCAGCTCAAAGCATAATTTTAATGTTGAGCAGAGATGGCCTGCAGCAACAGAATCACTAAAAGAGGAAGAAAAATTGAAATAATTCAAGTGGAACAAACATAGGCTCCTGTACCAATGCTTTTTCATATCAAAACAAAGGTTGAAGATTTTCTTTTGACCAACAGGTTTCTAAACTAGGTTCATAAAAAAAGGACAAAATAATGTTCAAGGAGAGAATCATATTTTTAACAAGCCRCAAACTGTAAATGGACCATCTGATTATCTTTCCCAGAAAATATTATGTCAGATAAGCAGAAATAATTTTCTTTGGAAATGTGGCCATGTCTAGCAAGGATATCTTTGGCTATATGATACAGATGCATGATGCATCTAATTCCATCTTTTCCTAAGAACCATAAAATTTAGTGGTATCCAAGGAAACACACAGACCTCAAATATCATGAGAAATGAGCTTTGTATGTGGCTATTCTTGATGGATGCTGTTGGGCTGCGGCCAGCATAGTTTACACAGAGATCTGGTGTAGCGAGATCCTTTTCCGAGACAAATAACTCCAGCAAATGTACAGGAAAACTACCTGAAATGCAATACTAGTGGATGAATTAAGAGGAGATACTATATTATTAATATTAAATATTATAGTATATACTAAACTAATGTATAAAGTTCACACCTCACCAAAAAATTGTCTTTCCATAGCTGCTTCTGGGCAAAGGTAGCTTCAAAAACTAAAGCTGTAGCAGTTCAAGGAACCTACAAAATAGACTGACCATTTACAAGAAATTGTATGAATTATCTTATTTGTGATTAAGTAACTACAGAGTGAATRAACATATGAATTAAAATAGAGCCAAAAATAATGAAAGTCAAAATGAATAGATTTCCAGATTCTGCTAACGAATTTTCTCTAAAATATAATGAATTTAAAATGAATTAATTTTCAGAATTGGAAAAACAGCATTGTCTCACTCAAGTTCTGTAACCAGGAGTTAATCACACACGGTAAGAACAAAACAAATGTTGTCCTAGTCTKCAATGAAGACCTAAGTTTGTATTCACTGTAAGAAAAGGATTTCTTTTGTTTAGCCATTGGTTGACATCTTTTGAATATGTTAAAGACTATGGGGTTTTTTTGTTTTGTTTTGCTTTAGAATTTCTCTACTTTGTTGTCATGGATTCTTTTTCTGTACGGAGTTGGAGAAAAACAGGCTAAAATGTAATTAATTCTTTCTGTAATTTTAAACTAACATCCAAGCGAGCACAGAGGGACTTCCTATCACATTTGGCTAACTGAAGCTCATTTATTTATTTGTTCCTGAGACACACTCAACATTGTTTCCAAGGTCTCTGAGTTGTTATTTTTAGGGGTCTATTTATAGGATTTTTTTTCTGTAGAAGGTGCCTTGTTGCTCCCCTACATCTGAAGCGTGTCTCTGTTGCCTTATACTGGGAGAAGGTTTCTACTGCAGACTCCCAAACCAGACGTTGCATCACTAGCGTCCCTCAATAATCTATGAGATTGGCKGATAAAAATAGTATCATGTATAACCTTTCATTCTTTGGTCACCTTTATTGGGGCATCTCCATGCAAGCCCAGGGACCTGAGAGTACGCACACAATTTATGATCACACTTTATTGCAAGTAATGTGCATAATAAGTGGCTGGGACTAACATACTACTTGGCCAAGTGCTAATATCCTCATTTGACTACGAGTGGGCAGTTGGTAAGGCAAGGAAGTGCAAGCCCTGATGCTCCTTGGAGCAGGCTGAGCTTTACTGAGCTGCCTTCTTCTTCCCCTCGATTTTTCTACCTTCCTGGATCACATTTTTTTCTCAAGTATGGGGTGATTTTTTTTTTTTTTTTTTGCTTTGTCTTTTTTGAGAATCAGTCTCAGTTGCATACTTCTGTAGGATTTTATTTCTACTTTCCTATCTTTCTGATCTCACAAGCAAGCAGCCTGTGTTACCTGTTGCTCACAGGCTGATAGTGACTGCTACAGCTCATTTGGATCTTCCTTTGGGAAAAGTTGGACCGAGGCCCCCCTGGGCCAGCTCATATGCACATCTTTGTTCTCAAACCTTAGGGACTCACAGCCCAGGACTGTTTGAGATCAGACAGCAAGAGTCTGATATTCAGCCCATGCAAGAGAGGCTCTACAGGTGTGGTCTGCAAGAGTCATGGCAAAGAAAAAGGGTTTCCTGCAGCAGGAGGGGACATGGAGAACAACAGAGCTCCCTTTTCCTCCCCATCCTCTACTCTCCCCTTCCTCCCCCACTGCTCCTGTGTGTGCCTCTCCCGATGAGCTCGCTCTTTTGTTCCTCTCCCTCTTTGGTCCAATGCAATCTCTTCTTTTCCTTTCTTTCCCCTTTTGTTTACTCACCCCAATTTTATTTCCTACCCACCCCCACCGCAGTCCTGACACGACAATCACTCTCCCTTGAGTCATCCTCGCTTCTTCCCCCCGACGTCCCCCGGCACTCTGACGTCTTCCCCCTTCCTCCCTCCCAGCTCTGACGGGCGCAGCCTTCTCACCCCACTCAACCCTCCTCCTTTATAAAGGGATTTTCCTCTTTTTAATCCAAGAGACTCCCCCCGTCGCTTCCCACACTCCCCTCCCTCACGGCCTCCGCGCTCTCACCGCCACAGTGGGAAGAGACCATCCCGCCGCTGCTCCCTTTCCACCTGCGGGGACCCGCGGCCATGGGCAGCCGCCACCTCTCCTAGCGCCCGTGCGTCCCCCATCCGGGGCCGCGGCGGGAACGCAGGTGCGCGGCCRATGGAGGGCTGGCCGGGGATGGGCATGGCACCAGCACCAGGAGCAGGGATGCGGCAGCGGGTCCTGGCGGGTGAAGCACTTTCCGTGTGGCCGGGAGGATGCAGTGCGTGGGGTTTGGCACGGGGCACCCCACGTTCACATCGCGGGGGGCTTCTCACCCGCTGCACTTGACGTGCTGTGAAATTTCTGCCGCCCGGCTGCTTTTGAGATTTCCACCTTGCTTCCGAGGCGGAATAGCGAGGAACCAATAACGAGGAACAGATTAGTTCTGCTGATGCCAGAAAGTTATTCTCTCGCTGGGAAGAAAGCACAGATYCTGAATACAGGAGGTGGTAAAAGGAGGAAGGGGCTTGTTCTTTCAACACAAAGACTCAAAAAATGTGCTTTAATCCTGTAGTTATTACTTATCTATAGTTTTGCTATTCCTTACTACAGTTTTGCAGCTTGTAAAAACCTGCATGGCTCAGACCTTCTATCCTATCCTAGGTACCAAACTATTACTTGGCTGAAGAGTTTCCAAACACTGAGTGCTTAGGGGAACTAAAATAATTCTGTGTGCTGTAACTGATTTCTATCTATTGCATAATTTGGGCTTTTTTTTTCTTTTTTTTTCTAATGAGTGCATACCTTTTAGCCACTCTTTAGCAATCATTTCCCATTGTAATTGCTGTTTAGAAGTCCATGGGCATTTTAGATAGTATGTGAACTTATTTTCAACTACTTCTGAAACACTCATGCCATAATTTCACTACAGTAATCTCGGCAATGAGATTATTGCATTTTCTTTATGTGGTTCATCTGTATTTTCTTTATATGGTGACTCAAAAAACATCTTTGTGATGTTTGTTAAACACAGATATATTATTGCATTCTCTCCAGAGGTCTTAACGAAATAAGGATCAAAGAAAAGAGTCGGGACATCAACATGCCTTTTCATGTGGAGGGACTGGTGGCCATAGTTGTATTTTACCTTGCTATCCTGGCGGTTGGAATATGGGCTGCTTGGAAAACCAAGAACACTGGCAGCGAAGGAGATCGCAGCGAAGCTATTATAGTCGGCGGAAGAGACATTGGCTTGCTGGTCGGTGGATTTACTATGACTGGTATGTAAAAATCTTTTTTAATTTCTACACAATATTGTGGCTTGCCACTTTTCTATCTGAATGAAAGATAAGTGTAATCTTCATTTTGATTAATGCAAAATGGAGGAAAAAGTATATACTTTGAGGGGGGTGCAAGAGCAGKGGCAGACAATGATAACACTGCTTACTGAAAAGCCAAATGTGGCACTATATAAAAAAGTCAAATACTTTAAAAATTTGAAGGACAAGTACATTCTATTTCTTCYTCACTGCTTTCATAATCATCTTTAAATAAGATAAGTTTGAGATGGAAGTGGCTTTATATAGTTTGCAAAGAATTCTAGTTTTAAAATAATGTTTATTGTTGCTATAGCCATTCAAAATGGTCATTTATCTTTGTTTAATCTGAATAAGCTCAGATTAAGTTTATATTAAAAAAAAAAGACAGGGAGGGTTTCTCAAATAAGTACAAGTTTTAAAAAGAAAACTGGCATATATTCAAATATGTAATTTCAGTAACTTCAGCAAACTTGCCTCATGGATTATTTAAACTTCTTTCTCCAAAGTCTGACAAAATTAATRCTTACTGTGAATAGAAGTATCAGTAGGAAAAGCCTGGGTGAAGGAAGAGTTCATCATTAATTTTATAAAGAGTGCAATCTGTCTGACTCACAGAGACACCCTGCAGTGGTAGACGACTGTTTGGCCAGATGAACCAGATGGCTTCCCAGGATAAACAAGGGTTCCACAATATGACCCAAAATTTCAAGTAATGTATGTGCATATATGCCATTGAATCACAAACCTTAAAAGAAGAACTATTTTTCTTTAAACAAATTGATGCTGTATAAGCATGCTTAATTTCTTTGATACTGTAAATACTATACAGAAAATGCTCATACAATTCACAAATTGTATTGATCAAGTTATGTTTTGTTGTTTTTTTCTTTTTGTTGTTGTTTTGTCATATTCTGTCTTCACAATTATCTAATAAGGAAGAGACAAAAAATGCCCCAAGATTCTGTATTCTTTAATTAAGAGGAATTTGCCGTCACTTTACGCGGCATTTAGCCAATTGGAAGAAYGAAGATCAGGATATGGAGCAAAAGATGTTTGTCAAAATCAGTTTAGTTTGAATCAAAGCTGACTTCATACTTTCAGTACTTGTCTGTAATGCATCATCCATTGGGTACTGAAGCACTCAGCTGTGACTAGATTTGCTGAAGAGATTGTTTGACTATTTTTTGATGAGTGAAATGTTTTCAAAAGCATCAAAACCAGGATGTTTTCTGAGACTGCTTGTCACAAGACTGCAGTTCTTAGGTAGGGGGAGTAGAAAAGAAAAAAGGGGTTTCCTGAGGAAACAGTTATGACTTACTGCCTTGTCCGTGGAAGACACAGACTCTATTTTATAAGAAAAACAGACAAACTCAGACAAAACTCTATTTYATAAGATATATATATAAAAACAACTGAAGCAAATGAGAGCTATTCCTGTATTGCAGGCAATTTCTATAACCAATACAATTCACACCTACACACATCCCATTTCATGCAAACTCTAGAGGTGATGTAGTAAATCATCTCCATGGAAGACTGCCAGACAGACCCTAAAACCTTGATTCAACTAAAACAATCACAGACTTCATAGGATCRGGATTCGCATTCTGGTTCAGCTCCGTGCTCCATGAAAACAACAACTAAAGCTCTTTGAGATGGAGAATAAATTCGACTTTCACTCCACATCTGATACACAATTAGGTATGCACATTAGTCTACATGGTCAGGGTCAGTCTGAATTTCATCTCACTCAAGGCCATTGGGATAATCAGTTTGTAAATCAGAGCAAAAAATAAAGATCAACCAAGAAAAAAAAAAACTAACCTGTGAGTGTTGACTGATCATAAACAGCAATAATTTTTACTGAACAGGCACAATGAACAAGGGTTTATTTGCTTCTTTATAAATGGTAGGTCTGCATTTTGTACATCACAGCCGTGCCTCCAGAGTTACTTGGGTCCTCCAATATAAACTTTCTGTTTTACAGCTTTTGACTGACTAAATGTAAACTAGCAAACAAAGCCTGCCTGTTAAAAGAGGGTATAAACTGGAATGTTTTTAAGTTTTCAGAGTATTATATGCAGATGATCATTGCTGAGACTATTCAGCAATATTCAGCAAACCATATAACATAAGCCTATCTGCTTTTGCCTATGTGAGGCTGGTTTGGAATATCTGCCAAGGACCTAAGAGTTTAGGAAGTATTGTRTGTGTATGTGTATGTGAATTATTTTCAGTAATGAGAGAGAGCCTAATTCTGTCTCKCTTGTCCAAGATGGACACTGTCATGTTTCTGGTTTAATATCTGAAAAAAAAAGCAACAGTTTCTAGGGATACTTGCGGAAACATAACTGAATTCAGTCTATAAATTTCAAATCAAATTAAAATTTCATATCAAATTAAAATCATAAGTATCATGACTTCAAAGGAATGGAGTCAAGATTTCTGAATAATTATAGTTGATTTTCTAAATGGTGTCTAAAAGCCTTAAAGCAAGTACACTCCCTATGAATAATGTCTATGGACATATTTGGATGTTTGAGAAAAATCTGTATCAACTAGCTGTGAAAATGCCTGAACATGASGCCTAGAGAAACCTGAACATATCAGCAAGTATCATAATAGAAAGAATGAGAAGCCTGAATTGTGGACAGATTACAACAGCTCGTATTAAAATGAACTAATGCAGTACAACAGTACGTATGTATTAATTAAAGTGAACGTAGTTAAAACGTAGAATGCATTATTAGCATTTCTCAGTTGGAGGAATTAAATTATTAAGTGATATCTATGACAATCTAGAGTATCTCCTGATTTCTGTGACTGAGATTAAACCCTAAATTAAATCTTTGAGATGGCTAATATGAATGATGGCAAATACAACCAGGACAGTAATGATCCRTTTACATCAGTTTTCTTTTAGTTAGATGGAGCTATGCATCCTTCCACAAAGAAGAAAAATCATTATTTATATTCTGTTTTCTATAATCACTATGCCAGGAATTTCATTTTATATAACTTGATGAGTTGATTCAATAATTTGGATGAGTGAAGGGATTATTTTATGGAGAAGTATCCAAACATCTGATCTTTTGCTACATATTGGTAGATTCTGAGGAGTTTCTGTGTTCCTCATTTGAACTAGAACAAAATTCAGCTCCATACTCTCAATATTTTTCTGATCAATAATATCATTCAGGGTGTGTTTTAAATGGATGTCAGTATTCTCTACATTTTTGGGTCCTTCAGAAAGCAGGCAGAGAGAGGATTAGAACAGATTAGCACATAAGTGTTTCCACAGATTATTAAATTTTGTRTTCCGTTTGTCTGATTAAAAAAAATCACCCGAAAAAGATATTACTCTAACTTTAAATTGTGGCTTAGCAAACTAAGGATCAGAAAATTTGTATCTAAGGATGAAATCCAATTCTATCATATCCCATTATTTCTTTTCTAATGTATCTATTGATGTGAGTGTGCATCCTGGCTACCCATTCTCTGTACACACAGCTGAAATGAGCTATGCAGCACCTTCCTAAGGCTCTTGGGTCCTTGGCAGATGTTCCAGGCCATCTCCACAAATGCAAAAATGGATAAACATATGTATTTATTTCTTTACGCCTCAATACAGAAATCAAGTAATCAAAAATAAAAATGAAGCTTAAATCTTCCATGCCAACCTGTKAACTTCTAAAGACATGATGCAAGTTAGCATCAGATTAACAAAAAAAGTACCTTCTGAACTACTAGGCCGTCTAGATATATGACAGTTAAGTATAAGAGAGTGATCAGTTAAGAGTTCCAATCTAGATATTTAGAAATCTAAAATAAATTTTTGTTCTCCTTCATTTGATTTTCTTAAAAACAGACAATTTGCTGCTTATACCATCTGCTTGGAAAAAAATGAAGAATGTTTAAAGAAAACAAACCTCGTGCAATTTTGAGTTTTTAAACATGAAACTGTCATCTYATATGTGAAAGCAAAAGTTTCTGAGACAAATCATCACAAATACATACAAAATATCATCACAAAAAATTGTCACTTGTRATGATTTACTCTATTCAAATACAGACTTTGTCATAAATTCAGTAAAAAATATTCATTATACTTTAGAGAAAATTGAGAAGTATTTGCAAAGAATCTGAAAACTGGAAAAAAAAAACTTAATTAAGTAATATGTTATGAATGATTTTTGCAGATCCACCCACAACATCTTTCTGTATTCGAGAATATTTTTCAAACACATTGTAGTTCCAAAATCCTCTTTAAGGCAGGAAAACAATTTATTAAGGGCCTGAGGTTGATATATTAAATATATTGCTGATTCTTAATAAGATTAAATATGAACTGTTATATCATGTCTAGAATACAGATGTGTCAAAGTTGAAAGCTTAAGTTTCTGAACAAAACCACTGCAGCACCATATAGAAAGGTAGCATTTAAAGAACTCAGAATTTGCTAAATCTGCTTAATGTAGCTACAATTTAAAACTAAATAAGATCTTAAAGACTTTTTTTTTTCTCATAGGTCTTTGTAACAAGTACATTCATTGCATTCATTAAACTGTTGTCTAATCTAAATTCTCTGAGTTATCCCAAGAGGGTTGGTTTTGTCATTGTATATTTATTGCTCTTCCTCAGATCCCTCCTTACATCTCTCCTTTGATTAACACAAAGGAAATGATGATGGTTAGTGAGCGGATCTGCTTCATTCCTTCCAAACAAATAGTGGCCCCCACATCTTCACTAACGCTACAGAGGTCATTGTCTAAGTCCATCTGGTTTCTCTTGTCGTATGTTCAGGGTATATATTTTTTTGAAATAAGGATTATCTTTTATAGAAGGATGCTCTGACTGAGATTCAAATAGTAATACATAAAATAAAAAAAAAGAAATATTTTAAGTGATGATAATTTCATGCTAGAATGTGAGAGATTTTCTTTCTTTGTGTGCCTTAGAGATATTTCCACCATTTCTTTTTCAGCCACCTGGGTTGGAGGAGGTTATATCAATGGGACAGCAGAAGCTGTATATGTCCCAGGCTACGGTCTGGCTTGGGCTCAGGCACCTATCGGATATTCCCTTAGTCTGATCGTAGGTAAGTGRGCAACAAAAGCTAATAGTCTTTCATTTTAAAGAATTTTGATGATAAGACCATCATTTAAAATGCAGCAAACAGGACATGAAAAATGACCAATGAAGTAAATTGAAAACCTTCTGCTAGACTGGAAAAGAAAAATGATGCATAGAGCAAACACTATCTTAAGTTCCCCGAATGTCTTGGCAACGTAAATCTAATTCATGCAACCTCATTAGCGAGCTACAGAGACCACAATAAAAAACATTTTGTTTGTTTGTTTTTTGTAATATATACTCCGTTTTATATATTCACTGCCTTTGTGATCTGGAACACGGTAGTATCAGGACATTTCAAAATGGTAGACCTTAAGAATGGTAAATATTCCTGTGGCAAATGCTATAAGCTTACAGATTTCCACAGAAAGTCTAATTAATTTGCCTAGATATTTTTTCAGGAAATCTGTAATAGAACCAATCTCTTGCCCTAAAATTGGACTAACCTTCCTCTTCAATGTAGTTTGAAGTTCTAAATCATATGTCAAAATGCAAACACTTAAGACTGCTATGTGAAGGGTTTGTGTCTAAAATACAGACAGCATTGCAATTCTTTTTTTTTTTTTTTTTTGTACATCTTATCCCAGAAATATAGTCTCAGTATTTTATTCTCCTTAAAAGTAATAATAATACAAAAATTCACACCATGTGTCAAACAACAGTACAGCTTTTAGGCAAACTATTATGCTGTGAATCAACATATATGTGCCACGAAGTTATCAACTGCATCTTCTCAGTTTGTGAACAGATCATGTCCCTAAGACAAAAGCTTATGCAACCACTTAAAAAGAGTGTGTTTGTAAAAAAAAATCTGCATTTTTCATCTTTCATTAAAACAATTGGTATATTAACCTTTCTAGTAATATTTGATTTCTCAGTCTATTTTGAGGGTTTTTTTTTCTTTTTAGGTGTTCCTCTCACTTATTCAGTGCCTTTGTTTTGTCTTCCCAGGTCTTCTTGCCCTTTTTATTTCTTTCTGTAAAACTTGGTTTATGTTGTGACGTCATGGCTCTTTGCTCCCCCTGGAAATGCTTTCCGACTCCCTATTTCCCTTTAAACCCTTTCTTCCCAGGCAGTGACTTTGCACATCAAGAATATCATTCTTTGCTTTGTGCAAGCCATCTCCACTTCCACTCATAGCTGCCATCCCTGACAGTAGCTCTGTTTCTTGTAAGGCACACAATAATGGTAGATGCCTGCCTGGATCAGTTGTTTTTTTTTGCGACGTCATGAGGGTTATGATCCATTGATGTTATTAAGAGGTCATTAGGGTCATAGCCACAAGCATCTTCCTGCTTTCTAGCCCCGGTATAACTAAGACAGCTTAATAATAGTCTCCTGGGGGAGGAGGGGGCTGGTTAGACTCTTCCCTCATTTCCAGCTTTTTTTAAAGAAATCCAGATATCTTCATCAAAATGGTAAGTGCAGATAACTGCAGAAAAGAGGAAAGTTTGCATTTTATGACCATATAGCTCTCTGCAGAACACAGTGAGGAAAGCATTTCTGCAGGCATGACCTGTGCATGCCACGGGGAATAAGGAGTTGTTCATCTCAAAAAAAAAAAAAAAAAAAAAAAAAAAGAAATAAATGGCTAGGCATATTGTTGCTTTAGATTGGAAAGATTTAAGTTTTGTCTGATCTTGCTTTTACCTCTTGCATATACCTCTTGCTCCAGCTATATGAATTTTCTTACTTTTTCATGCAGTTTAGATTTAAAGGTTGAAATTGCTTCCTTTTCCTTTGACAGGTGATTTAAGTGCCCAATAGATTATACTACCTTTTTTTTTATTTTTCTCTTTTAATGGTTTTCTGTGATGCAAATATAACAAACAGAATAGGAACAGGATTCATGAACAATGCTATAGTAAAAAAATTGCTAACGGGTCTCTGCATCCAACCAACCTGCCTTGAGACAGAGTAACATAAAGAATATAAAATTTTTGTTTGGCAAATCAGTACCTTCTCTTCAGGGAACTTTTTAAGTGAACTGAGTGATATAAGTCAAGACAGAGAATTTTGTAAAGTGTCCTGTACAATGAATATAATACACGTTGTTATGAAGAACCTAATTAAGGGTCTTCAAATACTACACAGTTSATTTTATTAGCATATAATTTTATGAGTGCAGCATATATGTTATATTTCAGCAGTTTTATTCTAAGAGAGGTCTATATAGTTATAGCCACGTGCAGATCTGATCTATATATTTCGTTAAAAACTGCCATTTAGGTTTCCTGAGATATATCCTTTTTTCTTTTCCATACGGAAAGTATTTAAAGGAACTTGAAGATTTTTGTGCATTATGTACGCATTCAGTCCATATGCCAGTTGGAGTAGAATTGAGATACATTAAATTTCCTGAAAATAAAAGTATGTTCAAAGAAATAAGAGTATGACAAATAGGTAGAGAATCTGACATCTGAAGAACACAGAAGGCATCTGACCTGTGCAGAAGGTGTAGTAATGCTGATTTAAGCATACGTAATAAATCTGAAATGTTTTGCAAAAATAGTGTGCACTATGCCATGCACACTATTGAGTCATGAGTTCATGAGTGTAAATTCATTTTATTTTATATTTAGAGAAAAAAAACTATGCAATTTTATGTTTAGAGAAAAAAACTAAAAGACAGATCCACTATCATAGAGATTTGAATGCTAAGAAAAAAATAGAAAGCCAGATCCAAAATTTGAGAAAATGTAACAATTTTTGGCAAAACATTAACAGCATTCATAACATGAAGTCAAGTAAACTGAATAAGACAAAATAATTTTTTTTTCATTATTGGACAGTATACATTAATGGTGTAGATGTGCTATGTAACTCTGGAGAAGAGATCTGAGGTGAGTTCTTAGAAAATGTTTTAATTTTACTTATTTCTTTTAAAAAACAATAACACAGATATTTTTCTACCTTTAGTTTAMAATCAATGTTTTATCCTTTCACGGCAATGCATTTCTCCACTGCAGTTAGTCTCTTATCTGCTACTTTTCTTTGTAGGTGGTCTGTTTTTTGCAAAACCCATGCGATCCAAAGGCTACGTAACAATGCTAGATCCTTTTCAGCAGATTTATGGGAAAAGAATGGGAGGGCTGCTCTTCATTCCAGCTTTAATGGGAGAAATGTTTTGGGCTGCTGCCATCTTCTCTGCCTTAGGTAAGGAGTAAACATTATAAATATTAACTTATCACATGTGAAAAGAATTAAGAAAATCAAAAATTCATAAAAATGTTGACTTCAAATGCTAACCATCTTAGACAAAGGATGCAGAGGATGGTGAGTGTTTCAAACCCGTGGTACTTAATAATCAGAATATTGATCACATGTCTTTTTATTTTCAGTCACCAAGAAGGGGTCCCTTTTCAAACAACATGAAAAAAATCAGCAATAAATTTTCCTTAATTGTAACAGTGACATGAATGATTGCAATGTCCCTTTTATATCAAAATTGACCCAGCTCCTCTTTTCTTTCATAGTTATCACAGCAGACAGTATTAATTTCTTCTAAAGAGAGGGTGGCCATATAGCTTTATTGCCAAAGCATCAAAATTAATTAATCCTTTCTGTATAGGAAATCTAGATAGACAGAACCTTCTGTCACACAAAATATAGAAGTAAAACAGATGCTGATCAATAAATTCAAGTATTATCAATTCTAAATGTCTTTCTACTTGCAAAAAATGGAGAAAACATTTAGGATTCAAGAAAGGATGAAGAGAATTAGTGGAACCATGACTCAATAGAAAATCACCCAACTACTCATTCAGTTCTGAAAAAAAGCAGTTGCCAGGGCTTTTAATTATATTTCAGGCCTACTCCTTCAAGAACTGAGAAAGCCCTTGACTTTTACTGGCTAATCACACTTACAGTGCACATGCATGTGGTAATGCTTTATAACACAAGCTATTTTAAATAGAAAATAAACTTTGAAGGTACTCCCCAACTGTGTTCTGATGAACTGCAAAGCAATGGGGAGCTTGTTTACCATAATTTCATCTCAAAACCCTTAAAGGTCTAAGAACAAACTACATGCTGAGGTGATAGGAGTTGAATAGCTTGAAGAACTCTCTGAGTATTTGAAATAAACTTCTTTCTGATTGAGGACAAGCTGATCTGTGATATTTCAAAGCAAGTGGTGTGAATGCCTTTCTAGCAGAATTTATATTAAAAGCTAATGGTTGAAGACAATAAAGGTGACTGAAAGCCTCTGTTTTAACTGTTCTGTTAATAGACCTGATTATATTATACCTCCTAATATGCACAAGGGCTTCACCAATGAAGATTTAATTCCAAAATTCTTCACCAGATTTTTTAATCTTCATGATTCTTTGTTTGATAGGATTCTAGAAGGGAAAAGCGAGGCTTCCCACTTTGTGACAGAGATCCAACACCATATCCTTTAACACATGAACCTTGAAGGTTCATTCTGCAACTTGGCAGCTCTCTGCTGTTCTCAGCCTATCTTCTCTGTCTATGTGATTAGGCTACATCCACAAATGCCTTCACTTACTAAGAGTTATTGAAACATTTGAAAGTGAGATGTTTTTAAGTAGGATTTATGAAGACTACAGTCACTTAAAATAGCTAAATAGCTAATTCATTTAAGACAAATGTATATGCATCCCAACATGCATTGGAAAGTCAATGGGGTAACTCCGAAGGTTTTCAGAATGCAAGGATGATAATTTCCTGRCACAGATGACTAAGCATTCAATGAAAGAAGATGCTCAGCTGGACATCATACTTGCGAATATGGAAGAACTAGTGAATACTGAGTTACAGTGACCATGAGTTGGTAGAGTTCAGGATTCTCAGCAAAAGAAGCAGGAAAAATTGCAGGACTGCAACCCTGGACTTCAGGAGAGAAAATCTTGACCTCTTCAGGTCAAGAGCCTGAATCTTAACCTACTCTTGACCTACTCTGAAGAACTCCCTGGGAAACAGTCCTGATGAGAAGAGAGGTGCAGGAGAAATTGCTGATTTTCAAGGATCCCTTCCTCCATATTCAAGAATGGTCTGTCCCAACAAGGAGGAAATCAAGCAAGTAATTGGATGTTAGAATGGATGAACAAGGACCTGTTGACTAAATTCATATATAAAAGGGAATTGTGATAGAGGGAAGGCAAGTGGCTTATGAGGAATACAGAGGCACTGTCTGAACGTGCAGGGATGGAGCTAGGAAAGCCAAAGCTCACTTGGAAATGAATCCAACAGTAGATGTGAATGGACTTCCTTGTCATGGTGGATGACAAGATGACCATGAGGCAGCAGTGTGCCCTGGTGGCCAAGAAGGCCAACGGGATCCTGGGGTGCATTAAGAAGAGCGTCTCCAGCAGGTCGAGGGAGGTGATCGTCCCCCTTTACACAGCCCTGGTGAGGCTACATCTGGAGACTGTGTCCAATTCTGGGCTCCCCAGGACAAGAGGGATGCGGAGCTGCTGGAGAGAGTCCASYGCAAGGCTACGAGGATGATCAGGGGCCTGGAACATCTGCCCTGTGAGCAAAGGCTGAGGGAGCTGGGTCTGTTCAGCGTGGAGAAGAGAAGGCTGAGGGGGGACCTGATCAGTGTCTATAAATACCTCAAGGGAGGCAGTGAGGAGGAGGGGGCGGCCTCTTTTCAGTGGTGGCCAGCGATAGGACTAGAGGAAACAGCCACAAGCTGAGGCACCAAAAGTTCCACAGGAACTTAAGAAAACACTTCTTGACAGTGAGGGTGACAGCCCTGGAACAGGCTGCCCAGGGAGGTTGTGGAGTCTCCTTCTTTGGAGATCTTCCAAACCAGCTTGGACGCAGCCCTGTTCCACGTGCTCTAGGTGACCCTGTGTGAGCAGAGGGGTTGGACTCGATGACCTCTGAGGTCTCTTCCAACCTTAACAATTCTGTGATTCTATGATTCTATGATTCTATGATTCTAATTATTATGGTTGGAAAAGACATTCAAGACCATCCACTCCAACCACAAACCCTTCAACACCATACCTGCTAAATCATGCCCCTAAGCGCCACATCTACACATTTCTTGAACACTGCCAGGGATGGTGATTCCGCCACTTCCCTGGGCAGCCTATTGCAAGGCTTCACCACTCTTTCTGTGTAGAAATTTTTCCTAATGTCTAACCTGAAACTCCCTTGGCACAACTTGAGCCAAAGTGAGCAATCCGCTTTAGAGAAACCTGCTTGGAGCATAGTGTTCAGTTAGATAGTCCCTGGAGCTACCTTCCCCTCAGCAATTMTGTKATTCTGCAACTCTATGAGCTATTCTGTGGATATTAATCCAACAACTGAATATTGCAGTTTCTTTTCCGTAAATGAAATCTGCTTATCATGTCTGCAGAAGTACTAGATTTTCATATTGGCAACAGAGGATGGATTCTCCAATTTGCAAAGAAACCATCTTGTTCCATGTAAATAACTCAAGAGCACTGTGGAGAAAAGAGCGGGCAATTCTCCCTATACAGCTGATGCCTGCCATACCATTCCTTCCTTTGCCAAAATGGCCTTGTTCAGGAAGGGTATGTTGAAACAGAATTCCCTTGGACCCAATACAGTACCCCAGTTTGCTCCCTTGCAACTTTAACTCAGCCAGGGAGGCTTCAGTGTATACATGGCTTCTTTTCACCAATATCCATGAGGAAAAGGACAGAACATGAGTGTAAGGAAATACTAGTGGAAGCCTTCCCTTCTCCTTTTTTTTTTTCTTTTAAGAATACATAAAAATTTTAGATGCTAAAGTCAGAAGAACATGGAGGCTATACATCCATGCTGTCACCAAATATCAGGTCTTCTGGTAAGAAATCAAATATCAGACTGCATAGCAAACTAGCACCTGCATATATATATTCTCCCTGAAGTGATTTCCTTCACAGAAACAAAGGCAAGCTTTGTCATCAGATGTATAATGAGATACAGTGTTTTGTGTTTCCCCACAGGTGCCACAATAAGTGTGATCATTGACATTAACATCAATATTTCAGTTATTATTTCTGCCCTGATTGCAACTATGTACACTCTTGTGGGTGGTCTATATTCTGTGGCCTACACGGATGTAGTCCAGCTCTTCTGCATCTTCCTAGGGCTGGTGAGTCTGGCTTTTCTTTTCCCTTCTTTGTAGAGGCATAAGTGGTTTTGCCCTGAGCATTATAACAAATACTGTTGCCTAGTACCTACAGCTTATATTTTGAATCGTATCTCCACTGAAAAGGGAGAGGAGGAATATCTCCACTCAAAGAAAAACTTTGCAGAGTCTGCATTATGTAAGTGTACAGACTGGACTTGTATTGCAATGCTGACAAGAAGTCTAATTATTCTATTATTCTTTTTTTTTTTTTTTCTTTTCTCTTTTTTTTAATATATAATCAGTCTGATAGTGCAGTCTTGTAATTTCCCTTTCGGGAAATAAATGTGGTTTAGGATAGGCTGGCACTGACTCCATCCCTACCTGTCCCTGCAACTGTGGCACATCACTGGGACAAGACATCAAAGGCAGAGAGCAGCAAGGAAATCAGCCCAGAAATTCTGGAAGTGGAACTGGAGAGTAGAAATGCTCTCCACTTCTCTTTCCTGTAGATATTCATACCACCTACCTGTGGCAGCGAGGTTAAGCTGTTTTAAATCACCTTCTTGATTCTTCTCTCATTTCCCTCCATTCATCATGGAGATCATAGTCTGGAGAGATTTACCAGATGACCTGCTGTTTGAATAGGGTATTACGAACCTGCAGTTAATGATATGCTAGTGGGTGGTCTTCAGCTCTTTTTACTGCTGTTGTTTAAGCCTTAGTTTAAAAAACATTAATGCAGAAGATCTTTGGGGTCAGATCACAGGGACAGAGTGAAAGGAGCTGCTGACTTTGTTTGCCAGTGCCAGTAACAGATAGTTGCAGGTGTACAGGGATCTGAGACATGCAGAAATAAAAGGACTAGCAGAAGGTCAAGGAACCGAACAGCACCTTAGGGAACCACAGTATTTTCTGGTCTTTCAACAGAGTTTTTGTGTAGCTCTGGGGAAATTGCTTCAGCCAGAGCTTGCACACAGGTGGTCACTAACCATGTGTGAGTCCTCACTCTGTGGCTTCCTACAGTGAGGCCTGTTGCCTAACTTGCAGAAATACTAAACATTCCCAGCGGTAACTGACTTCATGGGAATGGTGCTAAACACTCTGGAAAAGGCAAATCCAAGTTCCAGATGGCCTCCTCAAATTAGTAGTTACTCCAAATCTTATTTGCTGATACTCTTCACATGAACAGTGGGGAAGATTCATCCCTTTCTCTAATGTGTATGTTAATATGTGTGAACCATTCAGTTTCCAAAACTTCCCGAAATAAATAAGTAGATATCTATGTAGATAAATCAAAATATAGAAATGCTTTTTGAATGAGGATTACTCATGAACTGCATAATGCCTGGACCTGTGGGAAGAATAATGTGTGATCCTGCAATTAAAGGCAACGTGAACCTGGCAAGGAGGGTGGGGGACAAATAAGAGTCACAAAGCAGTCTTTGAAATGCTTAGTTTTGAAGCTTTAATGATGTTCTTTTACTTCAGTTTTTCATCTTTATGAAATTTCCCATTTAAAATAAACAGCAAGGTCATGTACAAGGAACCATTTTTATAATCCCATGTATGCTGGGGCTGAAAGCTTTACATAGAAGTACTAAATCTTCAAGCTCTTCATGGAGTGGTTTTAGATCCAACTCTTACTTCCACAGCAAGAGGAAAAGGGCATCTAACTGCATGGACATATATGCATATGACGTGTCAGTGAGCTGCAGGGACAGCATGTGTATCTTGACTTGTTCTATRGCTGATGCAGAGATTGTCCCTGAGACCGCAAAGAACTAGGATCTGTCAGGAACTCAAGTGGACTACAAGAGCACATACATTATGAGTTTTCAATAGAATTCCTATTAAAACCTGGGCTATGGCATGCAGGCTGCAGATGGAGTCTATTGACACTCCTAAAATTCTCATCTGAGTATGTCCAAACTGCCATTCTTCAGAAATTTATCACATAGACAAATTTTTGATTTGAGAGTCACAAGCAAGAAAAAAAAAGAATACATTTTATATCCTTGTTTCCTGTGATTTTTTCAGTAAAAAAGAGTGTTAGAATGTTTCATTTTGACAAGATATACATTTTGATGATGTTTCCCAGAAAAGTCAAAGCAGACACTAACCAAGGAAAATTTATGCCCAAGGGCTCAAATTCCAAGTAATACATTAAAGAAAAGTGACCTACTGCATTTGATAAACAACCTGAATAACAGGCAGCATTGCCAAACATAACAATAATTCAGATATTCTTCACTTAGTGTTACAATAACTGTGAAACAAAATAGACATCATTTTTCAAAATAGACATCATTTCTCCCCTCTTCACTGCTGTTAACCCCATACATTTAAATGTGATCAATTGGATAATGGCACTCTGCCTGTTTTTTGATATCATTGGAGGCTTAGGAGTTCTGTGCTAGAAATTAGGTATTCCATACAGCACAAAATCTGGTTTTCCTTTCAGTGGAATCTATGCAGAATCCACACTTGGGCATCTGACAGCTTATTCCATTGTGAAATGGACAGGATGGAAAAAGAGTATTTATGCTCAAAAAGTTGTTGGTGTGAAGGAAACCTTCCCTCTGGCAGAAACCTTTTCTGGGTAGGTTTTGTCAGTTGATCTTTTGGCCAAGATTCAAAAGGGCAAGACGTGAAATAGTCCACAGTGAGAATGTTCTCTAGATAGAAAGTGCTGTAGCACTGGGCTGTTGGAGCATGAAAGATGGGGATTCACCTGCAGCACCTCTCTGCTGTCACCATGTAGCTTGGTGTTGGACTAAAACCCTTTCCGAAGCATTTGGATGTATTTGGAGCAAGTCCTGGTGTTATTGCTCAAGTTTACATGTAGATGTAAACTGGATCACTCTAAAGTGTGATCCAGAGGAGGGTGTAAAAGAATACTTGTAAAATATAGGGAAGTGTAGTGAAGATGTGTAAATATGTGTTTCCTACTGATGGTATCATTGGTTTATTTTTCCTAAAGCTTTCAAAAGTTTGGGAAACACAGACTTACAATGATTAATTCTTGTGCCCACACTCTCCAGAACTTTACCCTGAAGAGGAGAAGTAAGCTATCCAACTCTAYTACCATTATCTCTGGATTTTAGAAGCCTTTGACTGGCACACAGCTTGACTCTGCAACTCAGCTTTGCATCTGATGTGTAGTGTGCAAGAAGAAAAACAGAGTAGTGTTAATATTGTAATTTCTTGGGTTTAGCATGCCTTGTTTAGACCTGAATTAAGCATTTTCCTTTGGTTACAGTGGATCAGTGTACCCTTTGCAATGTCGCATCCTGCAGTGACAGACATCGGGCTCACAGCTGTGCAAGAGGTGTACCAAGCACCTTGGCTTGGAACTATTAACTCACTTGACATTTACACATGGCTGGACAATTTCCTTCTGCTRGTAAGTGATGACTTGTACAAAGTAATTGTACATTTAAGAACTCATGCTACGTTMCTGGGACGTATGAAAAAGTAGAGTCTATTTAAGTGTTTCCGGTAAACTGATTTTTTTTTACCCTCTTGACTCCTACTAAATATTTCTGGGCATGTGAATGATTTTAGTGAAATATCAATAGGATGTTGTAGCGCAGCTCTCAGAGTCAGCATCACCAGTAACACAATTTAAATATCATTAGTTTGAAAGAGTTGATTTATGCTAAAACTAATTAGAAGTGTGTGGCTAATACCTAACTGATGTCTTTCTTGGCAAAGAAGTATGTGCATTGCAGGAGGCAATATATAATTTTATACAAGTGATTTTTACTAGTGATTATATATGTCTTAATTATACATGTTGTAGAAAAAAAGTTCTGCAGAGATGGATGGATGAATTCATACACACAACATGCCAGAACGAGCTGAAAGCTTTCCTTATTTAAAATCCATCTATTGCATATGGGGTTGKTGGTTATTAAGTATTTTCCATTATAAAACCTAACCACATGTGCTAACATTTTCCATTCATAATGTCTTTCAGTAATTCTATGCTGGTTTTATTATCATATCTAGTCTGGAATTTCTTTCTTTTTAAAAAGAATTTTCAATCAAAGATCTTCAGAGTAATAATTTAGCTAGGAAAATATGTTTTTTCATCAAGTTTAGCTTTTTTAGAGCTAGTCAAAGATCCAAAGCATGACACTAGCTAAAATATTTAACCTTATTTTGGTAAAATTATGGTTTCTTCTCTGCCTATGACCAAATGAATGCTTTAATGGTGTGAAATTGTTACATATTTTCTTTTCACTCTGCCTGTTTCTTTATAGATCTGTTCTTTATAGATCAAGATATTTACACATGTTTACACAGCTTTATTAAGGCAATATTATRAAGGTTGCAAAGGGTAAAACTCATAAATAGCACGTCAAAATCAGACTTGCTTGTGCAACATTCATTTAGTCCCTGTGTGAGCATGAAACACATATGAAACACCTGCATACACACTCTTAGATCTATATGTCTCCTGCCCTATTTGACATATAGAATTAGACAGTGTACTTTTAGTGAGCAATTAGTTTACATACTGTTTTCTTTTCATGCTGTTTAGTTATAGGTCYTTCTTTTCCTTATTGGAGACTATTCAAATTCTACTCTGAAGATGAAATTTTTACTATTTTTTTTTAAACTTCAGTAATATTTTATTTGTGTCATATTTTGTACATAAAATTTTAACCCTAAGCAGGTCTTCTCTGTTATATACCTAACTCAAAAGAAGGGATGCCACCATAAAAAAAATAGTTTATACCTTTGTATTTCTTGTACTTACTTTGTATTGCTATGATGCCTGATTGAGMTCGTGCAAGATTTTTTTTAGGTTCTTGTTAAATTTATATAGGACGTATCTGATGGCCACAGGCATTCTGGAAGGCAGATAATAAGCTTGCCTCTAAATCTTACCAGTGACTAAACTGGGGTGAGAGCAGGATACTGAAGGCCAGGTTCTCCAAGTAAGAAATACAGCAATAGTATTTTATGACCTTTTGTAAGGATTTATCAGGTATTTATGCAGCTCAGAATACCTTGGGATTACAGAGGATTACACATGTGCAAAGTATTGATGCTAATTGTACAAAGGGATAAGCTGCTTAAAAGAGTGAGATTTAACTGAATCTGAGAAATCCTAACATTATTTGTGAGAATGCAAGTTATAGCAATTATTACTGATTGAGCTTCAATAAATGAAAGAGCAGCAAATGGGGAGAGGAGCACATTCAAATGATGCTTCTATGTGTTATGAGGATAGCTAGGAAATCCACCCTCAGCCCCCGTAACAGGATGCTACTCATCATCTTTGCAGACATTAGGAGGAATCCCATGGCAAGCATATTTCCAGCGAGTTCTTTCTTCATCTTCTGCCACATATGCTCAAGTTCTGTCATTTCTGGCTGCTTTTGGCTGTCTTGTAATGGCTCTTCCTGCGATACTCATTGGTGCAATTGGAGCATCCACAGGTAAATTCAAAATAAATGTGTAAAAAATCACAAAAATTATAGTAGATAAAATTGAACAAGGTAACACTTAATCAATTGACTTCTTAAATGGGAGACAATACTAAGAAATAATATTATGAAATGATGTTTCTGAAGGAATCATTCCTCTCCCAGTTCCTGAGATGAAATTATTTTGCCTATTCAAGGTTCTTGCAGATGTTAACATTTTAGATACACCCTAGTACCTGCTAATACCTACTAGTACCTAGTACCTAATTTGATCATAATGATAATAGCTACAAAAACTGTATGGGTATTGTAGTTGTTTCAGGGAAGCCGTTTATCAAGGATTTCTCATCCTAACCATATTTTTGTCAGCTTCTTTGTCATAGTGAGAGTGATTCCTCTCACAATGACCATGTAGCTAAACTGTAGAAGCTATTTTATATTAGAAATGCTTGACATATAGCTCTTTGCTCTAAATCTGWAATCAAGAGAGTTAAACACATCCTGATCAACATGGACCCAGACTTGTTTTGTTGAGACAAATAATATTTACAAGTAATGTAATCTTTTAATTTTAAAAATCCTGGAGGATAATCAGTGACTGTGGTCAGATTTATCTTATAGATGAGAAATAGAAAGAAAAATGATGAGGCAGAATTAAATCTGCCTGACAGAAATCAGTGGGATAATGAGTTTCTGTAATGTCACTCACCCAGCCTCAGCAATGATTTGGATTGGGCACTGAATGTGAGTAAAAATGTGTCAATATGGGTAGTTCATTACACATGAAGTCAAGATATAATATAATTAATGGTTTATGTCCATATTGCAGCCTGGAATGAGACTGATTATGGTCCTCCGGACCCCATGACCAAGAAGGAAGCAGATATGATTTTACCAATCGTGCTTCAGTATCTTTGCCCAGTATACATCTCTTTCTTCGGCCTGGGTGCTGTATCTGCTGCTGTAATGTCCTCAGCCGACTCTTCAATTTTATCAGCAAGTTCTATGTTTGCTCGGAACATTTACCAGCTTTCATTTCGGCAAAACGTGAGATTACATTTTCATCTTTTTTACATTTAGAGAAAATAAACGATGCCCTAACTAGATGAAGCATAAACTRTCATTATATGCTGAAACAACTCTTCCAGGTTCCTGTCTCTGACTAGAAAGACTAGAGCATTTCTTCCCAACAGTATTTTGAACAAACTGAAAGCCATAAAAGTGTTTATAGTTGCAACTGACCATAAGAGAAGAAGACATATTAGGGAGATTGCTTGATTGCTTTCAAGTATTTTTAATGGCACTTAAGTGTATCCAGACTGTTCCTAATTATTGCTGTCACCATAAGTTTTATTTAAATCCTTAATGAAACAAGGCATTTTTCTGAATTATTAATTTATCAGGAAATCGATTAACACATGAAACATGCACAGAATGGACTAGTAAGTGGGTGCTTTTCTACGGAAGCGGAGAAGAGAGATTCTAAAACTTGATAGTATTTTTCTGTTGATCAATAGCGCATTTTTTTTTTAAAGTTTCTACTGATCTGTTTTTGCTTTCTTTCTTGCCAAGCTATCAAATTTTTCCTTCTGCTTAAAGATTAACAGCTTTAGGAATAGCAGCTATAACCTTGGATTCTTTTTTTTCTCAGTGCTTGAACTTGATATAGAAATATTATTTTGTAAAGTATTGTTAAATTTATCATGCAAAATTTCTTTTGACAATGTAATATCCAATTATATCCAGACTATACTCACAAGTGAAGGCATATGTATGCATATCTATTAATATAAACAAGTCTAACGCTGCACTCCTTTTACAGGCCTCGGACAAGGAAATCGTATGGGTGATGAGAATCACAGTTTTTCTCTTTGGAGCATCAGCAACAGCAATGGCATTGCTAGCTTCATCTGTGTATGGCCTGTGGTACCTCAGCTCTGATCTTGTTTATATCATCATATTCCCTCAGCTCCTGTGTGTGTTATTTATTAAAGGAACCAACACGTATGGTGCCATTGCAGGATATTTCTTTGGCCTGCTTCTCAGAATAACTGGAGGAGAACCGTACCTGTATCTTCAGCCCTTGATCTACTATCCTGGCTGCTATCCAGATGAAAATAATATCTACGTCCAGCGATTCCCATTTAAAACACTTGCTATGCTTACCTCCTTCTTTACTAACATTATAGTCTCCTACTTAGCAAAATACCTATTTGAAAGTGGGACTTTGCCACCAAAACTGGACTTCCTTGATGCTGTTGTTTCGAGATACAGTAGAGAACACATGGACAAGGCAACTCTTGTAAAAAGTGACAATATTGTGTTAAATGAACTTGCACCTGTGAATCCACGGCACAGTCTGACTTTGAGCTCAACTTTCACAAATAAGGAAGCTTTCAATTATGTTGATTCGAGTCCAGATCTGTCCAATACTGAAGATAATTAAATTCTGGTATCCCCAAACAAAGCAGTGCAAAACAGAACAGCCTACAAAGATGAGTGAAAGGCCTTTTATCAGAAGAAAAGCAAGAACTGGGAATGTACAATTCTTTAAATTGTTTCTAGGAACAGAAGCATCTCATGGAAGAACCTGTTTTATGTTACTATCTAACAACATGTTGGTTTAGATCACAGAGTTTTTATCAAAAGATGCACTCAGACCCCATTCTTTCCACTAAGAACTATATAAAATATCATTTTAAAAATATTTAGAACTGAAAAACACAAAACAGAAAAGTGCAACTGTCATTTAGCTAGGGTATTATGAGAAGAAATTATAATACAGTCACTCTGAGATACTATCAGTCAACATTTTATTGGCATTTAGTGAAAATATATTGTCGCAGTTGTAGGTCATTTATTAAAAGGAGTTTGTTGTTTGAGCCAAGACAGATAACTTCTCTGAGTTTTTCATCTCTTTTTTCCTTATAATGAATTTCAAAGAACACAAATTAAGTTTTTTGTTATTTGTATAAGGCAGTGAAATGCGCAAATAATAATAAATTCTTATAGGGGTGTTAAATGCTTATTGACAAGTGAAATTGAATTCCCAGCTTAAAATCAAATTATACTTTATGCAAGACAACCTTAAGCAAAGTATGTTAAGACAGGCGTTCTTTTTTCATTGTCTTGAATGGCTGTCACCAGTGGAGGATACAAATATATATATATATATATATATTTTATAGCAATAATTAAAGTTGAAACTCAACTTGGGAAAAATACTGAAACTATAGGTTTTTACAAACTAAATATAATATTGCAATGTTGAGAAAAGAAGTCTTATCTTGACTTGTCATCAAAATGAACATTGTGTGAAGGAAATAGTCTGATGCCATTCGACTGCAGCAGAGAAAAAAATATTAAAAAGTAAAGAGAGTCAAGAAAGTTGCTTGAAACAGAAGAGAAGGTTTTCCATGAGGAAAATTCCCATTTTTCACTCAARAAAATATACATACATTCTTAGAGACCTCCAAACATCTTTTGTGTTAGACTTGCTGAAAAGTGCAAATTTTCTATGGAAAAGCATATAGCCTTGAAAATTGGACTTCTCACTGGAAAACAGTGCTGAACAAATTTCCACATTGGTATGTGTCTACCTCCAAAAGCAGTGCCAGTTTGGAGAGAAACTGAAAGCAAAGGCAAATCCACAAGCATAGCCAATTGCCCAGTCATGTCTTCCACTGAACACTGTACTCACTTATCAAGAACTTTCCTCCTGTCAATCCTGGTGCCCATGTACAATGCGGCACTGGCCAGGAGCAGGCAAGACTTCACTAATAACTGGCAACGCTGGTCAGGAGCTGTAAAGCAGGAAGCTTGGGCTCCTTCCAACTTTGCCCTGATCATCAGGGAACACATAGAGTTKTTTCCACTTGCCCACAGCCTAGATGATTGTCTGTCCCCATAGATATGTGCCTTCCGCAGTGGGAGATCTAGCCACTAGATTTCTGTACTATTAACAGATGTGCTCCACTAACTCTTTTTACACTCTACRCATGACATATAATCTTCAGCTGAAATTCAGCTGTCCTCCTGTTGCTGATCATTTGTGAAAATTTCTTCTGTAACGTTCGCAGCACGAGGAGCTGTACTGGAGTAAGAAGTGTGAGAGTAGGTTTTGCTGCTAAAGGAAGAAGCCATCAACTTGCGTATTCAGTGCTGACATAAACTTTCACAAGGGTGAATTCTTAGAAATGTTTTTGCTCCTTTTGTGGAGTCTTAACATCATATATATAAATATATTTTATATGTAGATAAAATTAGATTTAGAAATGTTACCTTTTCTTTCTCCATACACTGCATTTGAAAAATAACACTTCATTTCAGCTCTGAACGTGCACTGTGAAGTGCGGTACTACTGTCTACTTTGCTAACAAATATTAGGTGTGCTCTGGGTAGAGGGAACCAAAATCAGAGTCTGTAGAAGAGTCAATACAGCACAGAAATGACAATTTCTGTGGAGTAAGTGAATGGGTGGCCAGGGAGTTATCTCAGAGTCCTGAGATGCTACCAAACCAGACATGGACCCAGCAGCATTTATTCCTCACTGAATCTCAGAAAAGAGAAGGGGAAAAGTATCAYATATAAGAAAGAAAGAGGTGGGGGGAACAGGAGAGAAGAGAGGAGAGAGCAGTTTGTCAGGAATTGTTTAAAATACTTTGTTTAGAAAAGAAAAATCATTCCGTTTCTATTGTTTTCACTCATTGCCATAGAAATATAATTTTTTTGAAATGCTCAGAATAAATATTTAAATGGAAAAAAAAAGTTTTCATTCAAAAATTTGAAACTAGATGCTATCAACATCGTCACAATATCTCTCTTTTTTTTTCTACTATTTTTTCTGAATCCACTGTTGTAATACAAAGCTTTTTTGTTTAAATAGAACTTCGCATTCTATAGTGGAAAATGGATCAAAAAGCTTTCCAGTCCTTTTCAGGAAAACTGGAAACACTGGACCCAAGGTGTGCAGCTTGGATGTCTACAGGTAGTCAACCAGGAAAGATTTATTATACAACGAAGAGAAGCAAACACTTAAACCTGTATATAGTGTGACCTCATCTCTGGTTTCTACATACCAAGYCTCTGTGTGTGCCTTTGCACATGTCCAACAATGATTGCAGTGCTGGGCTGCCTTCTGGATTGAAAGARCCCCAAAGCCAAACTAAATAATCCTGTGAAAAACTGATTATAATTTTTCTTGTCTTTTCTCAGCTATCCTAGCATAAGAGGTATATAAAGCTGTTATATATAACCAAAGGCCATATATATTGATTGTTTCAAAAAGAGAGAAGAAAACAAAATGTAATCAGGTTATTTTCAAGAGGAAGAAGCCAACAGGACGTGAACCTTCAAGCAGACTTTTTTTTTTTTGGTAAATCATACAATGTTCCTTCCCCAGTTTTGTAGACAGTGGTACTGTGAATAAAATTGTTTCTACAATCAGCAACTAGCAAAGTTCATTTTCAGACACTGAGGTTATTGTTCTTGAGTCCACCACTTGCAGATGAAATATTCATATCATGATTATGTATTTTATTTTCACATTTTTGACATTTCTGTGAATAACTCTTCTTTGACAGGGGATTTTTTTTATCTCCTTTGCATGAAACTTTGCATTCATAAAAATGAGGTTAATACGTAGATGAGATGTCAAGAGTAGTTACTATTTCATCTATATTCGTCCGTGTGGGATGATATGTGTATTACAAATAAAATATTCTTTTGTGAACCTGAACTGAATGTAAACATTAAGTGGATCAAATAAAGTCAGATTTAGCCTTTTATTTTCATATAGTACAATAACTTAGGATTTCAAATATAACTGTCATAGGAAAAAAAAATGTTATTCATTTTTCCTTCTGCCCTTCAAATGTAATTGATCAAGTACAATGTGCAATTAGACAGTAAGTTATTGTAAGACTGCTATTTATCAGGGCAGTATTGGTGGATGTTGTTTAAAAAAATGTATATTTTTGTCTGTGTCAGAAATGTTATATTAAGCCTATACCTAACAAAGTAGATAGGAAAAAATATATATAAAAATATATGTTTTAACCGCATTTGTATTGTATTGAATAGTGCCCATGCCATTCAGGAGAATACTGTCTAGTTTTGGGTTTGTTCTGTCCAGCTACTAAAAATAAAGGCATTTATTTTGTTACCACTGAGCGTCACCTGCAGTTTTGCGTCAAGGCCGTGTCTAAGTAGAAGGAAGACAGTCAAGCGGGAGCAGCTCCCCTCCAGGATGACCAGGAGGGTAGTGGGGCCTGCAGGGCTCTGCCCTGAAACCAGGCTGCCATTTTTTTCCTGATGGAAGTGCCATCTGTACTAGGAAACAAAGTCCTCTTCTGTGTTGCATATGTTATAAACACAGTTATTTGGAAATCAGAACTATATACTTACTTTAAACTAAAACTCTGCATTTATCTCCTAATTAGAGGTTTGATCAAATGCCCACTGAAGCCAAAGGGAAGACCCCAAGGTTGACAGCTATAATGACACTTCTCAGCTATGTTTATCCCAAAGCTTCTCTGAAAAAAAACGCATGAGCAATAGTGTCCACTCTTGGATGGGGGAAGCAAGGAACTGTCCTCATTTTCCATGGCACTGAGATGCTCATTCATGGAGGGAAGCAGCGACTAGGATGTTCAAACAACATCATATAGTTCAGACATTTCCTTGAGACTCTAGGGCTTTAATCTCCCATGAAAAAAAAAATGGAAACTGTTTTGGAATCGCCTATTGCTATTTTGTAATAGCATAAAATGCATAAAAATATGTTAATTCAAATACAGAAGGGTGTTCATTAAGATGTTCAAAAATATATTTGCAATGGAAATAAGAGGTAGTTTCCTCATCATATGAATGAATTTTTAAAAAATTCTTCCAGTTGCAATATTGTAGATAAAACTAAACTTAGTTCTAAAACAAATCTTGTGAATGAAACAGCAATGATGGTTCAATTCTGTGAAGGTCTATATTTTTTTTTCAGTGCTCTGATTCCCCTATGCATCATTTTGGGAGTCTAAGCACACCTGAGGAGAGTGTAAATGAGAAATCCTATTAGTAGGCTTTCTTCAACATAAAATGGCTGTTGGAAGTCAATCCTTAGCTTCTTTCCAATTTTTCCAAGTAAGAGTTTTCTACATTTGCGATCAAAGTACTAAAATTTTTGTACTTATTTGAAAATGGATGGGGCATACTTTGCCAAATTGCTAATAAATTTCGCTGCAAGCAAAAGGAACTGTGTCTTTTCTGCCAGCTTACTAATGGAATGTAATTATTAACTGYGCAATAGTAACTGAGGTAGGAGTGCTGCTTTGCAGCATGAATATGTTACTTAGCAGTTTACTTCCCTGAAAGTTTTGCGCATGATTTTCAGGAGGACCAAATGGGAAAGATGTTCACAGTAGTGATGGCTCAYTGAGGGCATGACATTCAAGGAGCTTAGTATCTTTGTACAATTTCAGCATTTTTATGGTGAAGTGTAGTGTAATAAGTCACTCCTTGCCATCCCAGTAGGTACTCTGACTAAAACCTGCATATAACCTCAGTATCAATATTTTGTCATGGGAGGGAGCTGTGTTTAAAAGATCATATTATCTAAGCAGTAAATACAATACTGAGCAGTTCCACAAGCAATTCCTTTGTTGTTTTGTTTTGTGTGTGTGTGTGTGTGTGTGTGTGTGTGTTTATATATAATGTATGTAAACCAACACCTTTAAAATCTACTGTGTCTGAATTTGCTTTCCTCCACAGAGGATTTCCTGCTTCAGTTCTGATCAGTTGCTATTAACATAACCTGTAGTGCAAGCCTAATTACTCAGCAGGTAAGGAGAAAGTAATTAGCCAGCAATAAGACAGATTTCTAGTCGCTACAGTTTGTATTTTTACACATAAAGCTGAGGTGGCAGAAGTACAGCAGAGACATAAACTGAATACCAGAACTAATATAAATGACTAG